AGTAAGCCGAGATTGTGCCACTGCACTCCAGCCTGGGTAACAAGAGCGAAACTCCGTCTCAAAAAATAAAAAAAAAAAAACATACAAAACATTAGCCAGGCAAGGTGGCGCATGCCTGTAATCCCAGCTACTCGGAAGGCTGAGAGGCAGGAGGATTGCTTGAACCTGGGAGGTGGAGGTTGCAGTGAGCAGAGATCACACCATTGCATTCCAGCCTGGGTGACAGAACGAGACTCTGTCTCAAAAACAAAAAAAGTGAAGTAAAGAGGATTTGTTGCGCCAGGCATAGTGGCTCTGGCCTATAATCCCAGAACTTTGGGAGGCCTAGGTAGGCGGATCACTTGAAGTCAGGAGTTGGAGACCAGCGTGGCCAACATGGTGAAACCCTGTATCTAACAAAAATACAAAACAGCAGGGCATGGTGGCGCAAGCCTGTAATGCCAGTTACTCCAAAGGCCGAGGCAGGAGAATTGCTTCAACCCAGAAGGTAGAGCCCGCAGTGAGCCAAGATTTACCCACTACATTCCAGCCTAGGCAACAGAGGAATATTCTATCTCAAAAAATAAAAAAGTAATTAAAAAAGGAAATCAATAAATCTCTTCCACGAATGTGCTGGGACAAATAACAATATCCACATGGAACGGAAAAACTTTGAATCCCTATGTCATACCATCAAAAATTTTATTTTAAAATGTTAAGAACAATAACAATGAAGACAGACACAGAAAAGGGAGCCCTGCAGCAAGAGGTGTTACTTTGTCGCCCAGGCTGGCCTCAAACCCCAGGCTCAGCGATCCTCCCGCAGCTGCTTCCTGAGCAGCTGGGACCTCCGTCTCCCACCCTCGCGCCCTCACGTCTGCCCTGTTCAGGCAGCAGGTGGTGACCCCACTCCTCCCTGGCCTGAGCACTTAACTTAGTCCCGCATCACAGCCGGCGGCGTCAGGGAAGTCTCTGCTGCTAAGCACAGTCTGGACTGTCCCTCCCGAGTAAATGGAGAGTAGAAAGGGAGAGGATTTCTGTTCTGTTCTGTAGGCGTCAGCATGAAATCGTACGTTCGGCCCAAGCAAGGGCTTTGCATTTCACATTCTGGTTTGCATCGCCGTTCCAGACAATTCCAGGGCTTTTGACCCATGCCTCAGCCTTCCTGGCCCGACCCGCCTCCAAAACCCAAAAACAGGCGCTGGGAGCGAGGCTGAGAGACGCGCAGGTGCAGGCCCGCCCCGCCCTCTGCTGGTTCTGAAGGGCAAGGTCTCTTCGCCTCGCGCCCCGCCCCTTCCTCGCCCAGGCCCCGCCCACCTCCGCGCAGGTCCCGCCCAGGCCTGGCTTCTGTCCTGCGCGCGCAGACTCGCGCAAACCCGGAAGCGGATCGCGTGGAATGAGGGTCCCTCCGCGGCGCGTGAGTTTCGCTCTGTCTTCCACTAAGTCTGCGCGTCCCAGGTCCCTGACGCTTCTGGACCTGGGACGTGGAGTCCCGACAGACCTGGAAATTCTCGCCGGTCTTCCTTTACCCAGAGTAAATTGAGACGTCCCCTTGAGTGTCCGGGGGTCGCTTCCTTGTGGGTTTAAGGTCACGCTGAGGCTGGTCCCGTCCTGGTTTTTCCGTTGCAGGACGTTGTGTACACTTCGGGTTGCGTAGTGTTTCGGCTCGCGTAGAGTTTCGGCTCAAAACCTTTTTCTGACTCCCACCGCCCCGCGCTTTTTGAAGGCCTCACCCGGGAGGAGGATTCCCGCCCTGGGCACCTCCCGCCCTCGCCCTGGTCGGACCCCTGAGCGCAGCGCTGCAGCCCCAGTCCAGGGAAAGACGTCCTCTGCCTGGTCGCGGTATTCTGCAGACACCACTTTTGTCTTAAGGTGCTGTCGTTCGAGGCCCTGCTACTTCCCATGTCTCCCCTCCGCAGTCACTACTTCCCCTGAGCTCGCGTTGAGGAGGTGCCCAGGGCCTGTCCTGTGACACGGGCTGTTCTTACCTGCCCAGCTGCGGCCCCTGGAAAATGCGCACCTCTGGGATGCAGGCGTGTTACTCCAAACCCTCCTGTGATTGTGTGGGCTAAAGATGCCTGGAGACAGAGAGCAGTAGAAAACCTGAGAAAGAGAAAAGAATGAGAAACACCCATAACAGATGGCAAAGTAGAGGATGGGTGAGGGATTTGCCAAGAGACAGCAAAAGTGAAAAAAAAAAGTAAAATAAAACGTAGGAGGAGAAAAGCAACTGGAGAAATGTAGAGAAAAGCGAGATGTACAGAGAGATGAAGGACAGCAAGGTAGGGATGGGGCAGCAAAGAGGGAGGCCCATGAGAGTGAGGGAGACGAGGAGGGATTTGGAGCCCAGGCAGACAGAACAGAGGGTGCTGGTGGCAAGGAGAACAGAGGGAACCACAGGAGGGAGGACACCTGGGGATGTGGGGTGCCAGAGGGCGGGTGCGGGGGTATAATAGGGAAGAGAGAATTTAACAGGGAGAGTAGAGGAGGCGCAGAGAGGGGAGAAGAGGTAGAAATATAGAGAGATTGAGGACGACTGGGGAGAAGGAGCAACAAGAGGTTAAATAAGTTGGGAGGATGGAGCAGAAGAGGTGGAAAAGGAGGAATAGAGGGGAGAAGGGGATAAGCAGCAGGAGAGGAGAGGGGGACAAAGTGAGGAGCAGAATCCCAGGGAAAAAGAAAAGAAGAGCTAGAGAGAGAAGGGGAGAATGAGAGAGATGTGCAGAGTTAGGGAGGGAAGCAGAGTAATGAATAAAGAGGGCTGGGTGCAGTGGCTCCTGCCTGTAATCCCCGCACTTTAGGAGACTGAGGCAAGGGGACTGATGGAGTGCAGGAGTTCCAGACCCGCCTGGGCAGCATAGTGAGACCCCATCTCTGACATACACACACACATTAACTGGGCATGGTGGTGTGCACCTGTATTCCCTGTTACTCTGGAGTCCGAGGCAGAGAATCACTTGCGCCCAGGAGGTCTAGGCTGCAGTGAGCCAAGATCATGCCTCTACACTCCAACCTGGTCAACAGAGCCAGACCCTGTCTCAGAAGAAAAAAAAAGGGGTAAATTAGTAGAGACAGGGTTTCTCCATGTTGGTCAGGCTGGTCTCAAAGGCTTGACCTCAGGTGATCCGCCCGCCTTGGCCTCCCAAAGTACTGGGATTGCAGCCATGAGCCACCACACCCAATCCATAGTACTTTTTAAGAGTCATCAGAGCCAGGCTCGGTGGCTCATGCCTGTAATCCCAGCATTCTGGGAGGCCAAGGCAGG